TTTTCGACTCTTAAAACCATTCAGAGACGCAGAAACGTGCTCTGATACCAACCTGTAACGCCCCGCCTTAACTTAATTATCAGAGTGCGTTTTTAAGATATCTTTTTAAAAATAATTTAAGAATATGATTCGGAGCGTTACTAAAACATTTAATTTATCTTTAAAAATCCGTTATGATCGTTTAAAATTTAAAACAAAAACGGATTAACATAATATAGAATCCGACTATGAAATCGGATCAAAAGTCAAAGTTTATCAAACAGTGACTTCAGCGGAATGTAGCGTGGCAAAACAAAAACAACAAAATATTTAACTTCGATCATCAGTCAACTTCACAGCTCCGGACCGACTTCGTGACCTGAAAAATTTGATAAAAATGGGGTGTGAGTACCACTGTACTCCGTAGGGACTCATACTAAAGTAAACAGCAATAATAATAAAGACATCATGATCATAAGCATATAACATAACCGTGAATTTCCTGGTCAACAGTATAAACCGGACCGGGATCCGTGAATCTACCGGCTGTCATGATGATAATGATAATGATAATGATGATGACAATAATAAGCCGGAATCCATGTGCACATACTAGTGGTAGATGACGCCACTAGAACTTAGAACGGAATTATGGCAACCTGAACTGGCCAACATCCATTCCAAGCGGAAAACATAATTTGACATACCTTGAACATGATATCGTAATTATAATCAATGTAATACCCAGTCTGAGTCCCCACATGTACTGAAGATATGAAACTGGAAGTGCTGATAGTCGTGAACTGATCAAACTATAACATAATATAAACAATTACTAAGTACTATGCTCAGATTAATAAATTTAATTGTTAAGATGCTCGACTCGACTTAATATGATATCCGGATATAAAGGAACGCACTAAGGGTTCACAAAAATAATTCTAAGTCCGGAAATTATACTGATATGCTTAACTGAACTGGTTCAGCTCGGAAAATAATTTAGATTTTAGAATAAGACTCGGACCGAAAATCACGAACCAAAACGGACTCGAACCGCCGGCTAAACCGGCCGGTTCGCTGACTGGATAAACCGGGTCGGGCTAAACCGGACCGGGTTGGACCACCGGTTCACACTAGACCGGTTGGTCACGTGCTGGCTGGGCTCGGTCCCGTGCCGGGCCTGCTGGGCCATGGCACGGCGCTGGACACGGGCTAGNCCAGGTGCGACTGGCGCGAGCACTGACGCGGCCAGACATTACTTGCGCGTCTCGGGTGCGGCTAAGGTTGTCAGGGCGCTGCCGGGCGACCCTTGGCACGCGGGCGTGCTGTTGGGCACGTCCCGGGCCAACTGATTGCTCGGGCATGCGGCATGGCACGTCCCGAGGCCTGTGAACTTACTCGGGGTCAATAAGGCACAGTACTACACACTCGGGTGTGCTGTTGGCACGACCCGAGGTCAGCTGCGCGTGGCACGAGTGACTGTCCCGGGGTCGCGCATACCCGGCACTGGGACAGCACTCCGGCATGGCCGCTATGTGCGGCAGCATGCCGTGACCGGCCCTTGCCGGCCGTTCGGCCACTTTCCTTGATCAAAATGACATATCATGACATGATTAACACATTTATACATACATGGGTCTGAGGGTCATGATAATAACATGAAATTTGATCTTATTTGACATGATGGGCCACGACGTGCGCGATAGGCGCATCCGACGGCCCTAACGTGTACCCTCGATCAAACATGAACTTTTCTCGAGCAACATGAGTTCATTGACCATAATTTATCATTTAAAGGCTGTTGGAACACAAATGTCTCTAACAAAATTGATCACAATGAGAGATACCCTAATAGGGTAAGACACGGCCCGTGCTACGTGCGCTGTCCACTTCCCTTGGCCATTTCCTCAACAAATCGACAACTTATTTCGGGCTATCTTTTAAAACTGAACATATCACATTAGATAAAGACTAATGATACATGGTTTGCTCGAGAGAAGTTGGCTATACAAAGAGATGTTATAATATGGCCTAAAATGCACACCCGAGAGCATTTTCGAAGATTATATGAACTTAGACCCATAATTTGAACTTGGTATGATACAAGTAACATCATAACAGGGTTAAAATCATATTACCCTTTGATTGCCCGAAGAAAGTTGGCAAGAAATTGGTGTTGGTTCGGACCCTTTCTCTTCTTCGCGCGCGTACGGTGAGTTTGGATTAAAATATCTTAATCTTGTTTATTGTTTGCTTAAGAGTTGCTTAGAGAATAGCTTAAGTTATAAGATGAAATATGTCCAAACGTTGGATTTATAGGCAGTGAAAGGGATGAAAATGCAAGGTAAAATGCTCGGCCAATGGCCTCGTGCCATTTGCCGCGACCCTAGGCCACGAGGTGTACAACTTGCGGCCTAATCACCATATACTTGGCATGAAGAGGCCACTTGGCTAGGAAAGGGTAAGATTCACGTGACTTTGCCCTATCTTTTGTCCATTTGAGCTCATTAATTATTTAAGCACGTTTAAGGTATGATTAAGCGTGATTACCCTAGATTAAGGCGATTAGAAGAAAATTAAGCACCCTAGCCGTGCCATGAGCAATGTTTAAGGACATATGATAGTAGAATGATTACTTAGGCTTAAAATGAACATAATTGAGGTACTTAAGGAACCACTAAGTACAATTATGCGCATGATCACGCACGATTTGTGCGAGATTAGCACATTTACCGCTCGATTAAGTACGATTTGATTCGATAATATTTTTATCGGGCGATTGAACATAAATTGATTTATACTTTGGATTCTGAGAATAATATGAACATTACAAAATTAAGTACGTAATTTACATTAAGTGAAAATGGGCTATTACAGTCATTATGTTTTCTAGATTTGTGGGGAAATTTTTGTTTGATTAACATAGAGTCAACAGACAATAATATTTTTTTTGGGTTTTGTTTGAAGACAGGATTTGGTCACATGGATGAAAAAATTAATTTTTGTTTGATATCGATTTTATTGCACTGCCCACATGGTTGTAAATCTGGTCCCCATACATCTTGTTGAACTAACCTACTATTCTTTATAAGGTTTTGGACCCATTAGTTTTATTATTTCAATATCTTTGGTATACTGTTACTAATGAACAATAGATAATCATGTATATGTATTGGTTGATGTTCTACAAATATTTACATTATGTTTGGTATATGTTATTCACACAGAGACAATATGTTTTTTGTTATATGTCCTGTGTACAGTGACAATAAGTTTTGTGTATGTTCTGTCCACATTGACATTATGTTTGGTATATTTGTACTAACATACATATTTACTATTTAATTCATTTTCAATTTAATACTCCTTTTAAGTGTTATTTTGCCTGTCTGATTGGAAGATATGTTATATCATATGTAATAATTATATCTCTGTTAGGAAAATACTACTCAATAGGAGTTAGTTTTTTTTACTGTTTTGAAGTCCCTTTTATCTGTAATATACAAATATATGTTATTTAATATTATTTTTTTTTAGGAATGAGCATTGCTAATACCAAATCACAGGGATATAAAAGTCAAAGTTCTAAACAGTAATGACAACACGAGAGACGAGTCTACCATTGCTTACATCAAGCTAACGCTGACTATGGAACAATTGCAGTTGTTTAGGGCTTCTACATTTGGCAAGTTCTTGGATTTACCCTACTGCAAGGTTCAAAATCAGCTTATAAATCAGATTCTTTTAAGGGAGGTACGTCAGACAAGGAGCGATGAGATTTGGCTTGATGTTGGAGGGAAATTTCTTCATTTTGGCATAGAAGAGTTTGCCTTGATATCTGGATTGAAATGTACGGGGCCTTGGAAGAAATTGAATATTCCTAAAGTGTCCAATGGCTTGTACGACAAGTACTTTTCTGGAGCTGTGTTGAACAGAAACTTCATTCGATGGCAATTTCTTCAAAAATATTGGAAAACTGATGATGATGCGGTCAGATTTGCAAAGTTGCACTTACTTGCAAATTTTCTATTGGGTTCGTAGGACACTCTTCGGGTGGACAGATGCTACGTTGACATGATAGATAGTGTCGAGTGTGATGATTATAATTGGGGAATTGAAGTTTTTGAGTTCACAATTCAGCATTTGAAGAAATCCATCCGCTCTCGAGAGCAGATCCATAAACTTGGGAAAAAGGATAAAGGTAGCCACATGTACAGGTTTTATGGGTTTATCCTTTCTCTCCAATTTTGGTTCTACGAGGTTTGCAACACCGCAGAGGGTGTCATTTGCACACATGTGGGTGGCAACGACATACCAAGGATGCTTAAATGGGAAGTCCGTGGCAACTTCAATCATCTCTTTAAGCAGAGCATCTTTCCAAATTTCAATCCTAGCAAGGTAATAAATAACTCTTACTGTACTTAGTTTCCCAATATATAAATATATATTTCTATTCATTAATATATCAACATTATTTAATTTATTTAATTTTTTTCTTTCTCAGTTCAAGAACTTGATACCGACTGAGGAAGAGGAATGGACTTTATTCATCAATGATTTTTACAAGAGGAAAAATGAATTCTATCATACTGAAATACCGACAACTGAACCACCACAGCATACAATGAACCAGACGTCATCAAACGTCTTGACACACTTACCGCTGAGGTTCAAAGTCTGAAACAGATGTTCATCGATTTTTCCAACCGTGTTTTTACAGAATTTGCATTATTCAAAGAAAAATTCATCGTAAGTAAATGATACCTTTTTTAGTCTAATTTTATATATATATACATATAATACTGTTATTATATANNNTCATATACTGTTATTATTTATATTTATATGTAACATATACTGTTATTGTTGTATTTATATGTAACATGTACTGTTATTATATGTTGTACATTATGTCTTAAGTTATAAATCAGATTTTTTTCAATCATTTCACAAATATGTGTTTTTGTGTATGTTGTGTTTGTAAGTCATCATAATTGTTTGTTACTCATTTATTATATTAGGTTTCTCAAGATGAAGATGGAAAAGCCTCTGATGAACCATCTGATGATTTAGACTTTGGAACTCGTCAAACGAAAGAAGACCCTCATTTCGATTCAGGGAAACAAACGGTTGGTGTATTATTTTTTTATTTTCATATAATACTTTTTTTTTTTTGCAAAATAAAGTTGTATAATAAATTGATATTTGTAGAAGCCACTATACGTTATCTTTTCTTGTCATTTGTAAAGCAGGATGTCCCCGAGCGGTCTGTATTAGCAACAAGAACAAAATCAGAAGCTCTGATGAAGCAAGCCAATGATCGTGTATGTGAGGATTGAAAATTATAGTATATATTGTATATTTTAATTGTATAATAAATATTTTGCTTATTGTATTTATGGAATAACAGGAGGAAAGTCATAACACGTCGGAGGTTGTTCTCGATCAACCACTACAGGTTACCCCTCTGTTGCGTAATACAGTTGTTTATTTTCATGTAATTTTTTTTTTTTGCNNNNT